ATCTTTGTATTGCCTGAAGGAAAAAAGATTAACACAGGGGAAATGATGAGACAATAAAACCAAAACACACTACATCACAACACCTGTAAACACATATTTGTAAACCATCTTGATCTATTTCCTTTCATTTATTATCTGACCAGGTAGAAAAAAAAAAGGAAACGATATAAAGCCGTCATCCATCACTTTGATTTGTCTGTCGGAGCATGCAGACAGACAGGAACTGCATACCCAAACAGCGATTATGTTTCTAAAGCTTGCCTCTCCCAAAAAACATTACCGGCTGCCAAAGAAAACTGTCAGATATAAATAACTAAAAAGCTATCTTTCAAGAGGATAAAAATAAGACTTTTAGGAAACATCAAGCAGAGCAGATAATGCCCAAGGACAACTCAAACATTATTTATTTATATATATATATATATAAATATTATATTATTATATAATATAATATATATATATATATAAAAAAAAATGTGTTTCTCACCTTCCACGGTGGTAGGTCTCTCTCACCCTCATTGAGCTCGGGTCCTCTACCAGAGGCCTGGGAGCTTGAGAGTTCTGCGCAGTATCTTTGCTGTTCCCAGTACTGCACTTTTCTGGACTGAGATGTCCGTTGTTTTTCCCGGTGTCCGTTGTTTTTCCCGGTGTCCGTTGTAGCCACTCTTCCAGTTTGGGGGTTACAGCCCCAAGTGCTCCGATCACCACAGGCACCACTGATGCCTTTACTTTCCAGGCTCTCTCCAGCTCTTCCTTGAGCCCCTGGTATTTCTCTAGCTTCTCGTGTTCCTTTTTCCTGATATTACCATCGCTTGGTATTGCGATGTCAACCACCACGGCTCTGCTCTGTTTCTTATCCACCACCACTATGTCTGGTTGGTTCGCCATCACCATTCTGTCAGTCTGTATCTGGAAGTCCCACAGGATCTTGGCTCGGTCATTCTCCACAACCTTTGGAGGTGTTTCCCACCTTGATCCTGGGGTTTCCAGCCCGTACTCTGCACAGATGTTTCTGTACACTATGTCCACCACTTGGTTATGTCGCTCCATGTATGCTTTCCCTGCCAGCATCTTACACCCCGCAGTTATGTGCTGGACTGTCTCAGGAGCCTCTTTGCACAGTCTACACCGTGGGTCTTGTCTGGTGTGGTAGATCTGGGCCTCTATTGCTCGAGTGCCCAGGGCCTGCTCCTGAGCAGCCAGGATCAGTGCCTCTGTGCTGTCCTTCAGACCAGCCCTCTCAAGCCATTGGTAGGATTTCTTGATATCAGCCACTTCAGGTATGTTCCGGTGGTACGCCCCATGTAGGGGTTTGTCCTGCCATGATGGTCCCTCCAGCACCTCTTCCTGTGGACCCCACTGTCTGAGACATTCTCTGAGCACCTCATCTGCTGGGGCCTTGTCCTTGATGTACTCAAGGAGCTTGGATGTTTCATCCTGGACAGTGGTTCTATATATATATATATATATATAGGACAGTGGTTCTATATATATATATATATATATATATATATATATAAATAAATAAATAAATAATGTTTGAGTTGTCCTTGGGCATTATCTGCTCTGCTTGATGTTTCCTAAAAGTCTTAATTTTATCCTCTTGAAAGATAGCTTTTTAGTTTATATATATATATACACACACACACACACACACATATATACACACACACACATATATATTTTACCTGTTATATTCGGTCAAAGCCTGATGTAGCACCATGCCCATGCCCTAAAACAAGAAAATACTTTTAACTGCACTGTTTATGAGCTATTTTTGTGTTCAGATAAAACTATACTTACATCCAAGGTTGGCTCATCATCCACTATAGAAAGCTTTACAATATATGGATTTACAGACTGAAACATAGAAAAACTAGTTAAAAATGTATGAGCATGAGATGATAGATTTTTGTCCAGGAGCACACATCAAATCTCCCCATTAATTCCTTCAAAATAATAATAAATGTAAGTTTATTGTTTTTATTTTTATTTACATTTTTTTCTGAAATGTTTAGCACCAAGGCTTAATGGATATCCAAGCATTTAAGATATCTATACACATTTTATCTTAATTTATTTATGTTAAAATTTAAAGAATTGTAATTTGACACCAAAGGGCAGTTCAATTGTATATGTATTTTGTATTTAAATTGTTAAATTAAATGACAGTTATAACACACCTCATACTTCCTGTAGTTGACCAAAAGTGCAAGAAGGACCACAGCATCATACCCATGCTGCCCTCTGCTGGATGTGTCAGACAAAATCTAAAAGGAGAAGATCGCATTTGAAGTGATTAAAGACATATTTAACTCTTAATATAATAAAAAGTAATAATATAATAACTTGTTAACCTTACCTGCAAAATAGCTTCAAAGATACTGTTGATCATCACATATTCCAATATAGTATTCTGGCTAATGTTGTCAGTTACCTATAACCACATGTTTATTTTATTTTCAGCAACAGATTAATAAATACAATTAGATATCCTTTTTATTTACCGTCACTAAACACAGCAGCAGTTTAAGACAAAGGCTCTTTAGACTTTCTGAACCTTCTCCACAAAGAAGGCTGTCTAGTCTTTCCATGAGGTCCTGCAGCAATACAACAACAACAAATCATTCATATTCAGTGTTACGTTTTCAAGGCCTAACTTACACCCCGTCGCACCTTCATCCTCTGCTCAGCCTTGTCAAACCCCATGAGCATGTTGATGATATCAAAGCCAGAAGCAGATTTATTTTTCTGATGGACTCCTCGGAAAAGCGCACAAAGTGTCTGGGAATAAATTAATATCATGAAACCCAAAACAGAGTTCATATAGTTAAGGTATAGTTTTATTTTCAGTATTCAAAGCAGATGTTACCTGAAGGGCATTGACCACTTTGATCTGGTGCTCCTCTGCCAAAGTCTGAACGCAGTGGTGAAACAGAGAATTGATGTTGTCCTGAATCCGCTGAACCTCCTCTCCATCTACACTTTCCAGCTTTGATTCCAGATACTCCAAGTTCACCTCAAGCAAAAGTTGAAAAAGCATACATTAATTAATAATACAATATGATGACTATGATTAAAAGGGTAAAAGGGTTAAAGGATATGATGAAAATAACAAGTTGCTGCTCCTAATCTAATCTACACAACACAAGGTTAATTGTGAAGCTAAGGTTTCACCTCTTTCTTTATAGTGAAAGAAAATTCAGTTCTGTCAACTAAAGAAGAAGCCACTTGAGTGGCAAAGCATCTTCACCTTTGTCCAGTTGACAGAATTAAATTTTCTATACATCCCACCTGGATGACTGAGGGATTACACAAACATCTGATCTTTGTAGCACTAACTTGGGAGTGAATCAAAATTAACAATTGTAATTAAAACATGTTTTTTGCAGTTTTTTTTTCACGAAACATAAAATGTTTGTTTTCCATATGTATTGCATGATCATTTTCTTGTGACATAATGTGTATTTATGAATAAATACCTTCATAAGAAACAGTTCATCCCAGAAGCGTGGGTTGTTTTTAGCTGGATCTTCTTTCTGTAAAAAGAAATATTTTTAACGTCTTCATACCACTGATATAATAATCAATGACATCTGGAGACACTTACTGCAAAAATCTCATCGTACATCAGCACCACCTTCTCCTTCAAGGGCTTTTTGGAGGAGGAGGTCCTCCTCAGTAACCCCGCTTTCTTCTCCACCTGAGACATCACTAAAGACAGAAACAAAACCAGGCATTAACTTGGCTTCTATATGCTTATGTTTGCATAATAAAAGCAAATAGAAAGAATGTATTAGATTGACCAGTATTGTGACCATCAAGGGTAAATATATTACTGAGATGCATTTAAAATCATTAGTGACACAATGTCATACAGCGAGTCAAATGAGGCCAAATATTCTGCTTTGATTTTCCCTGAAAACTATGTATATGTGGTATGCATGCAATATACATACAGTAATTTGACATGGGTGATTGGCGCTGAGTAGACTTTAATACTGTCTCAGCTCTATAGTATTCATATTGTACCATGTAACGTATATTATATGAGTATTCTATCCATATACATCTAAATTTGGTCCCAAGCTAACACTGATATGAGCTGAACCACTGGGATGGGCTCATGCTAGTTAGCCATATTAGCTTAATAACGCATTGTACGTGGTTTGTCGCGAAATGGTCGCAATTAAAAGCATGACTTGATTAAAAATACAGTTTCCACGTAGGTTCAAACTAAACGCGACGAAACTACAAAATAACTCCACATTTAGTTAGCTTTCATATGCGCTGACGCTAACTCAACCAAAAGCCAAACAGGGACCCATCCTCAACCAACCTGAAGCAGCGGACGCTACCTCTCTCTGATGACAGTAACACTGCGCCGCTACATGGGTTTATTCTCGATAAATTACGGCGTTTCCATTTCTTGATCTTACCTCAGCTGTGTTTTGTGTTAGGTATGAGAAGTTAGTCATGAAGCCCTGTTACAGCAGTAGCCTGTGCTAGCATACTGCTGCTGTCGGAGGAGGAGCCGCATCCTTCCTGTGGCTCCAGGGTCCTAGCTCCCGCACGCGGACACTGCTGCTTCACAGCACTGGACAAAGGTGCCATTGGACTGCATTCGTAAGAGGTCAATATGATCTGTATCAAGTGTACAGTAAAATAAAATTTTGCATTTTTTTCCAACACGGCTGAAAGCAGATATGTTGCTTAAAATCATATTTGACAGGGTTGTATTTTAGTGCTTCAATGACTATGCATAGGATTTTGAATAGGAGTTATTACGATTAGTCTGGAATCGTTTAATCAGTCACTGCCTTACCTTTGAGCCCCAAAACAAATAAATTAAAGTAGGTGATTAGTGTTCATGGAAAACAGACCAGGTTAAACTCATATTAACAATTAAACACACGTAAGACAACCAAAACAATACAATGTAGAAGCAAATGTTGAAAACTCAAGTTAAAGTTTAACACTGACAATGACTAGACCACATGTAAAGTGAAAATGTATCTTTTATTGGTACCATACATTAATTATCAAGGGCAGAAACTAACCAAATCAAAAATATATATATATCAAACAATGATTTTTTTCTACAGGGTTTTGGAAAAGGTACAAGTCACCATTTAAAACTGAACCAAAATCTGAACTGAGATAAAATGTAAATGTACAAAACAAGAGCTTCAGCCTCTTCATTCCACAGATTCAGCATTGCTACCAAATATGCCGATTTAAAATTAATGTCTAGCTGGTTTTAGATAATCTGATGTTTAATGAGTATGATAAGTACAAAAAATGTATATTTGGACAAAACTATTAAAAAGCCAGTGTTGAACCTCTGAAATTCACTGGTGTAGTAACAAATGCAGCAAACACATTCACTTTGACATCAAGTTGAAAGCTGAAGTACACAAAAGTGTGGTGACATGAAACACATGAGACTCTCCAAATAAATAAAAGTTAAAAGGTAGTAAAATTATTTCCTCATGGTGTCGTTGTACCCCCAGGATTTTTGCAATTTAATTTACACACGTTTTTAAAAAAGAGGGAGAGGTAAGAGCAGAGGGGACATAAGGGATGGGATGAGTGTTTTTTTCTGCTTTTGCTAATTTTTGTTTTCTTTACATTAGATCAGGATGGCTTTAGGTAAATCTAAGTAAGAATACATTTTATTACAGTCAGACAGAACTTTGCTACTACCTTAAATATACAAGCACAAATACACAAAAATTCAAATCTCCAAAAAAGGAAACAAAAGACAAAATAAAAACATCCACACTAAATTATTTCTCTTTTATAAACATAAAAGATAAAAACAATATACTTTAGAGGGGTAGGGATAAAAGTCCTGTGTTGCTCCTTGGTCTGTAGCTTTTCAGTATTGGTAGAAAATAAAAAAAGTTAACAATTGAAATGAAGGCGTTTAATACAAATTAAAAAACATTCTAGGGAAATATATACTGTATAAAAACTCTTAAAATGTGTTACTGTGTGTGTGTGTGTGTGTGTGTGTACGCTCTCTGACTTTAGTCTGAAGCAGAGATGGCTCTAACCCTTAGGTATGTCCTTCAATGTTTGATTCATTCCCTAGTGCCACATAGCTTTTAGAGTTGTGTGTGAATATTTAAAGTCATTATGGACTGGTTCTTCATTCTGGTCTGTTTAAGCAAAACCACAAACACACCCAAGCTAACATTTCATTCATTCACTCATTCAAAAACACATATATACTTTATGAACGCTCATCTCAAGCAGCTAAGCCTTAAAATGACCAGAACCAAGAGCCACGTTCAGACCGGTGCATGGGTTGTCCCTAACCAACTCTGCACCTCTGCGAGACCTCACTTGCCACCCGCTGCACCCCACCCTTTAGTACAACATCTTCTGATTCAGTTTACCTACTGTAAGTGATGGGGCAACTCCAAATGACAACAATGACCTCCAAACTTGTTAGTGACATTGGCCTGTGTTTGCTGTATGATGCCTGGATTGTTGATGTTGGCGGCTGAGGTGAAGGTGTAGGGCAGAGGGTGGGCAGACGTGGGGTCTTTTTGAGGTTGTGGGCGGGGCTCTACTGTGACGCCTGTGAGGTGGGGTTGTCACTTTTGCTCTCCTGGCTGGAGGGGGGCTTGTTGTTCCAGGGCGAGTTGGAGCCAAGGGCTGGGGAGTTGTTGAAGCTGTCCTCATCATCGATGCCATTGGCTGCATCAAACTGTGTGTTCTCCAGCCGCGTGATGAGACGCTCATCCTCGTCCCCAAACTCTCCTCCCATCAGTGTGGGCTCCCCTACTACCATTACATCCTGCAGGGACATAAACACAGGTTACATTCACAGAAGAGATACATGAAAATGTTACATAAGGCAGTCAACTGAACTAACAACTTACACAGTAAAATGGTTTACAGAGGGAATAATTTTGGTCGATTGATGTTTACCAACCATTAATATTTATTAAACATTCACATGTATTTTGCATAGAATACAGTAGTTTGAACTCTATGGCAGTCTTGCATTGATTAATTCTGTTAAAAGGCACCCATAGACTGTATATATAAATGGTCAGAGCTAACACGCTAGCCGCCGCATTCTAAATAGGGAGTTCGCATGCAGGCGCTTTAGGCTCCTTCTGATCCTGGCTCCACTTGACTTCATTGGAATACTGTGGCCTCCTCTCTCTGTAAGTGCTGCTGTGAGTCTTGTCATTGGTCTTAAAATGTCCGTATTAATCTGCTCTACATGATCCTGGGTTTTGTGCAGCTATCTTGCCCATTAAAATTCATCCAAATCATCCTGTAATCGTTAGCATCACGTGATGTCGCTATGGGTGATGTCACACTCACTTAGTGCACTTCTTTATACAGTCTATGGATGCACCTAGATTTGACTAAAATGTGAATTTAACCTCAATTTGAAAAATAAATGGCAAATCTAAAATAACATTTTCAGTGTGACAAGTAGAATAAAGGTTTCTGGGTTGTAAAAGTATACGCTAGTTAAATAATGGCTGAGAGAAGTGAGAATAAGGTTAGTAACAAATTATGTAATAACACTGATGACATTTTATCAGATCAGCTTGTCTACTGAATGTGTAGTAGCATTGCTTTGGCAGTAGGTGGCACTGAAGCACTCACTGGGACTTGACTGGACAGAGGAAATCCACTCCCTGGACTCTTCTTTTTGTTGTTGTTGTTATTATTGGTCCCTCCTCCACTGATTGTGCTGCCTCCTGACATTTTACGCTTCCGCCGCTTGTTAGGGGCCTGTCTTGAGGGCTCAGCTATAGAGAAGGGTAAAAGTCAGCAAAATAGTCTCCATAATGTATTTCTTTATATATGTATATACACACACACATATTTTTTTGTTCACATACCAGGGGGTGCCACCATCCTCTGCCATTTCTGGAAGAGGCAGGTCTTGAGGCAGTCTCTGGGGCTGAGGCTATACGTCTTGTGTCTCGACATGAGCTCCTGCATGGGCTCCAGAATAACACATAGCTGAAAGAGAAAAAAGGAACTGCCTGTAATGCAATATTATACAAGATACTGATCAATTAAAAATAGTGTAGAGATATTTTGCATCCCATTTCTGCACATTTTATTGGAAACAAATCTGCCAGAATAAAAAGCTGCATTCTAAAAATTGCATCTGGATCAAAGCTTTAAATGCCCATTGTCAAACTACAGACCTGTTGATCCAGTTCAACAAGAGTCTCTTTTGTGTTTTAGAAAAAGGCAAACACACCAATCACAACACCAATTGCTACTTTCCATGCACTCAAGCTGAAGAAGTAAAGTACAAAATAAAGTTATCTAAAAAACGCTAGATGAAAGGTACATCTAGCATGTAACTATCGTCTGTTTAATTTTATAAAGTGCTCCAAGTAGGGTTTGTTAATTATGGCAAAAGTCATAGTGATTATTTGGCTCATAATTGAAATCACAATTATTAATTTATTATTTATTATTATTATTACTTGTTGTATACTGTGACTTCTGATTGATTCCAGGAGTACAAAGTTTAAACACTCCTCATCTTTAATATATTTGGGATGCATTTTAATGTAGTAAATCTGAAATATCCCACTGGAGAGGCCATGGGGAAGACCCAGGACACATTGGAGGTACAATATCTCTTGGCTGGCCTGGGAATGCCTCGGGAACTCTCTGAAAGAGCTGAAGGAAGTGTGAGTGTGTGGGGAGGGAAGTCTGGGCTTCTCTGCTTAAGCTGCTGCCCCTGTAACCCCCAGATAAATTAAAAGAAAATGGATGGATCTGTCTGAAATTGGTCTTTTCTATTAATATACAAAGTGAGGGGAAGTAATAAAGTGCCAACATTTTAAAAGAATGTGGACATAATTTACACCACAACATGAACTATGATTAAGTCTTAAAACTCAACCATGAGAACAAGCCCAAAACTAATGTAACAGACAAAAGCACTGTTGACTTTATGAAGACTTACTCGGAGGTAGTTTAGGGTGGAGTTGGACAGGCCACATCTTGTAATATTTTTGGACAACTGGTCCAACATCTGTGGGTCCTGGGCCTATGAAATAATTAGAAATGAGATTAGAAAAATATAACTACATTTGTAAAATGTACTGTTCTTGCTGTACTCACATGCATGGCCAGTATACTGCGAGGAATGAGCTCACGGTGTTGTCTGATGCTGAAGTGCCAGGTCTTTATCCTCATCATGTCATCAAACATGAACTCCAGGTATAAGCGCCCTTCTACACACACCTACACAAGAAGAAATCATTTTAAGAACAGACACACAACAGTAAAGTAGAAAATGTGAATTGCATAATTTTAATAACAATAATTTCATTTTAGATAAATAAAAAAGCTCAATATTGGCATATCAAATAGTTTCAGATTCAAATCAGTTTCAAATCAAAATCGCTCACCCGGTATAAATAAAGAAATCCTTTTTTTTCTTATTGCATTACATGTTGGTCATTTTAATTTGATGTGTTTAGATTGCACACAATCCTGACTTAAATATATAAATATAGGGACTTGCACTATTAATCAATAATATACATATTTGACTGACAAACCTGTGTGAACATTGGTTTTCCGTTTTGGGTAACCATGGTGCACTGGTCACAGTCGAGTGAGACAAAGTTGTTATGGAAGGACTCTTTCGGATGTTTTAAAACATAATAAAGTTCAGTGGCACCGCCCTCAAATATACTCCGGAAGTATCTGGGAATCAACGTCCGGCCTATTGCTAAAAGACAGAAGAAAAAACATCATTACTATTGTATAAATAATAGTAATGATACTTTGCAGTGATCATGCTGGGGGTGCTCTAAAAGTTCCACCATAAGAGATACATGTAAGAGTTGCCATAGTGACACAATCCATATATTACCAAACACTGACAAAAAAAAAATAAATTTTTAAGATCTTCTAAAAACTCAATAAAAACCACAAAATGTATTGAAAGAACACATTGTCAGGAACCTGAGACCAATACGAGTGTTCATGCTCCTGTTTAGGAGTTTGATTTTCAACAAAAGGGGGAGAGAGGCCAACTGAAAAACTGTTAGCTAATGCATGTGAGACTTGCTTAACAGTACAAATCAGCTGTTATAGTACCAACTAAAGTAGCTCTTTCTGGTCAGATAGCGTTAAAATAAAGCTCTGATTACGTCTAACGGAGCTTCTAACAGAATAGTGCTTCTAGTTAGCATCAGCTCCCAGGAAATATTGATGATATTCACATGACTGTGAATTGGCAGTCATCCAAGATTTTTATACTTACTGTAACGTTTGGGGCCATCTTCAAGACAAAACGTTATAGTCAACATGGCATCGTCTTCAAAAAACTCAGTAGTGAATGCATCCCACCAAAGATTATCACAGTCCTACATTAGAGAATAGAATTATATCACATGCAAGTTTTAGTGTGTGTTTTTTTTTGTTTTTGATAAGCACGCATACCTCTGTCCAGTTCTGTAGCCTTTTATTTAGCTCAAATATTCTGTAGTCAGTCTGGTTTCCATATGGTGTGTGCCTCCTGGATCACCATAAAAGATAATGTGTGTGAATAAGAGGAATAAACTCAGGAACAATGACCATACAATTACAACCCTTACAGCTCTATACTTTACATGCTGATAGGCTATCACAGGCTAAATACAAAACACCATAGAGATAAGAACAGAGCTTCCCACAGCCTTATCTATATTTGTTTAATTGGCGTTTTTCGCAGCACCTAGAGATAATGGAAAATAATGTTGTCTTACCCTATTCCTGGCTCCAGGTATGTGGGAGGGTACATCGGGGTGGGACTGGAAAGACAAGCCAAACAGATTATTACTTTTAGGTACAGCCCTAATATGCCCCCAATCAGGACCTAGTCTGATTTTACAGCCCTGGGATGGGAGCCAAACATGCCACAAATTGGATGATACAAAGACACAGTAAATAACACTCTACAATGAACACCCACAACGGACGACCGTCTCCCGACAAGCTGTAAAACACGGCATGGATAAACCTCTCAGCCCTGGAGATCCACACGGTCAAACCTAATTCTTTCCTAAGCATTAAACGCTTCTCCCAATCAGGCCAATACAGCAGCGAAACTTACAGCTCAACAGATTCAACACATTTGTTGAAACTGAATGAACACTGAACAATTTACTCCTGGTCGGCACTTGGCAAGACATGTTACTGATATGGTATGATGCCCAAGGCACTCTAGTGGTGCAGTAGTTCCCAAATAGTGGATGAAAGCGTTAAGGTACATTTCTGCAAGACCTAATAATAAAACAAATTACAGCATAATCTTTCAAAAACTGTATAATTTTCTTAACTTTTGAGGTTATATATTTATAGTCCATTTATGAATTGCGTGATACTTCAATCTCAATCAAGACATTTAAAGAGGCACACTTGGCGTATTTCTGATGAAATGCAAAAAATCTATCATTTTCTCATACTGTGATAATCCCAAAATTAGAGAATTTTTGTCAACCACTGTCCATCCCATAATTGCAAGAGGAATTACCATTTCAAGAGGTTTTCAATATTTAAAGTAAGACAGTTAAGGCTACTCAAATAATTAACAGAATTATATTTATTCTTGTGTGTTTAGTCGGTTGTAAAGAAACTTTTAGTTAGTCTAGTTACGATGACATATTCATCAGACATAGTATAATAAAGACCAACCTTACCGCCCAAGGAGATATTATATTCCACATGAACTTATTTTACTTACATTTGAAACTACATGTGTTTGGCATAATAAAAACAGAGAAGACTCACCCCACGTCTCTGTCCAGCATGGTGCCGGGATGAAAGGGGGGGAAAGTGCTACCGTTGGGGGGCTCCTTGGGGGAGTACAGTTTGAACGACTTGGAGGAACAGCCTAAAACAGACAGATAAAAACCATTAGGGCTATTTAGCTTAGCTTAGGTACAGTTTCTTTGTATTACAAGTAAATAATTTAACTTAATTACAAAAGAAGTCAAAACTATATAAATGCATGCTCTTTGCAATTTGACTTTACAGCAGATTACAGTGTGATGTGAGGCATACGCAGCCATTGGCCCAGTTTCAGTTGGCTGCACTTATTAACAGGTCATTCCCAAAAATGCACCAATTGGGGTGCATCACCAACACAAAATCAGAGCCTGCTAAAGAAAACTGTCTGATGTAAACAGTGAGCAAGTAAAAATCACATTATCTGCCGTTCCTCCTGCATTTTTCACACTTCAAAAATAGATCATGCCACCACCAAGAGGAACCATGTGAAAGACCTTGTTTACATACTGTTAGAAATTTTTATCCACAACATAAACATGGTTACTGTCACCACAGTGGTCTACTTGCATAGTTCCTTTGTAAAGGCCATCCAGTCATAGCAACATTTAGGTCATGACCTCTGCTGTCTCTATGGTGAAGCCCCTCCTCATTAATGTATACATCTCATGTCTGTATAAAACGTGTCACCACTACTACACGGTATACTATAAGAGTTGGGGCATTGGGGATTTCAAGCATAATAGCACTGTATTTTGTTACCCATACAAAAGTAATTATTACCTTAAATTAGTGCAAAAATGCTATGTTTCTGAAGTATACAACCTGACCACTCATATGGAATATTGTGTACAAAATATTTATACTTGTAATGGCCTTTAAGAGACAACAAAGCTAGGTTTAGACACTCTGGATCTCACACAAATCACTACAGGGAACTCTGCCACAAAAGCCATCTATGAGAAACCCTAGCTCCACTTTGTATAAAAAACAACCATTTAGTAGCCTATATGAGACAGCGGTGCTATGCTAGAGCTATGGCATCAGCAGCAGAGGAAAACAAATGGAGATGATAAATAAATAAATAATCAATAGTTATGTGTCCATTAGTTGTTGAGAGCTCCATTAGCCCCTCTCTTTTCCTGTTAGTGGTTAATGACAGACCGTCACAATCACATCAGCTGGTTTCCACTTCCTCCACTGGGACTCTCCCTCATCTGCACAAACAGCACATACATTACTGTATACTTCAGTCCAAGCTACATGCACTTATGAAGTGACAGAGCTTCTCTCCATCATTTTATGCAAGCAGGTGAATATTTTGTGAAAACTATGAGCAACACAATTGCTATTGCAATAAAACAAAAGTCACAAAACACACAATAACGCTCCATCCTGGACATCTGCCACAGGAACTGCTGGACACTACGCAAAGGGGCGACAGCTCAGTTTATTGCAATGAAGGCTAACTACATCCAAAGCAAACATGCTAAAGCCACAATCTGAAATCAACGTGAATTTTAGTAAATCACAACCAATATGCTGCAAATGTTTGACACGTGGATGTGTCAAAGCGCACACTTTTAAATGGTAAAGAACAGGGCTTACAAAGGCAATTAGATAAAGCAGGAGCAGAATGCTAACACTTAGGTTAGCTTTTACCGGGTTTACATTTAAACACAGGTTAATTTCGAGGCAAATAAAGTTAGGAAACAAAAATAGTGTTAAGATACAGAGGTTATATCCAAATATAGTGAAAGTAAATTCACCACAAGTACGGGCTAGGGACGACACAATCACGGAGGCCTTTGAAGCTAGTGTTAGCCAGACACTGTTAGCTCAGTCTGCCATTAGCCGTGCAGCTAACACCGACGCGTAAAATACACTCCAATAAAACATCAAAGAGCATAAACAAACATCAACACGGAACAATGTGGGCTACATTTAAAAACTATAAGTATTAATTGTTGTAGTACGTGTGTATTTTTTCAAAGCGACCCTTTACCTGAAAAGAAGTCCAATCAGAAAATTGATGTTTACAGATCCGTGATGATAGACCGAGTGTACGCTCCGTGCGTAAAAACGGATAGGCCCGCTGGACGCAACGTACCAACACAACACGTCCCTTTGAACAGAATCAATAAAATCTCCTCGAATCGCGAGATAGAGAGGGAATAAGGGCAAAATTGCGGGAGTCGCTGGGCTGTGTTTTGTCCCGCATGAGGCCTTGTCAGTGGGCTGCAGCCTGCTGTGGGTTTACATACGGACCCCGATGAGCCCTTTGTTCACGGGAGGACATGAACAATAGCTGTAGGCCCTCCTCCTCTCGCTCCGCAATGCATTTGCTCCTCTCTCCTCTGCCCAGCACCGCCAGCCGCCCTCTCCCCTGCTCTCCTCCTCCCACCACTAATGCACAACTGCACATAAAGGTTGTCTGCTAAGCATTTTTTATTCCTCCTCCCAACATCCAATTTCTTCCTCGTAAGTGACACAGATGAGAATTGGCCTAATGCTGCAACTAACTAAAGGATCGTGTCAATTGTAAAGTGGTTCTCATGTTAATGATTAATTATAATTATCTCAAATTAATTTCCCACAAACAAATGGACTGAAATTAGGAGCAAACCCCTTTGTTATGGCACTTCTATGTCAACAAGTCATACCAATAGTGTTGGTATAACATAGTTTCTAAGCACGCCTAATTATTTATGGTGGCCTATATTACAGTTTTAAACAATATATGTAATGCATTACTGTGAAAAACAAAAACAAAATAACTATACTATAACAAAATAATACATTAAATTACAAAATAGTTGCATCACCAACAATAATGCTCAGAAAGAATGCATATCCTCTAGTCAGCAAGCATATCTTGACACAGCTTAATTAAAACAGTTTGTCCTAAAAGTTAAAAACCCATAAACCCATGTTTCACACCATTTAAATGTCTTTACAGTATTACAATTAAAGTAATCCCCAAGTAAACTTTGTGGCATCAGCCATTCATTTTTATCGATGAATGCCAATGGACACTGAAAAGCGTACGCAAATATTTTTCAACTACAAATAAGTTTTATAAACTTTTAATACAATATAATGTAAGAAAAAGTTATAAACTAAATCTGTGCAAACTGACCTGTATCCATGCAAAAGTAAGATATCAGTGACTTCTGGGAATTTCTCGCTCTCACACATAGAGCACTAAGCCAAAAGGAGAGTCCCCTAGGCCTCTAAATCTTCTTAAATCGCCCCATATTATAATCAGATATTCAGATCACAACTAGGAAAGACTCAGCCATATGGCTAAAGATTAGATATAAAAAGAACAAGAGAAATATTAGGTCAGTACTGTACTGCATTTCAGTATGGACAGAAAGTCTAAACAGGAGGCTTAGATTTTAAAGCAAGAATACATATCCAATATTTGAGTTCAGTTGTTGTTGTTTGCTGTCTACATGGCCTCAGAATATAAATAAAGTAGGGCTGTGCAATTAATCACAATTTAAAAAAAAGATTTTTTCATTTTTATTCGTCAATGTGATGATTAGATTTTTTTAAACGAGAGGTCCACAGCCAACAGAGTTCAGCCTTCGGAGGAAGAAATTAGTTTTAAATGGCAAGTATTATGTCTGGTTCAGGAAATTAATAGTTTTCAAGAGTATTTTTTTCATCAAATCATATGACTGATCAATAATGGGGAAAAAATAAATAAAAATGTATTTTTTCTCATATGGCCCAGCCCTAAAAGTCAGTTTAGCACTGCACTCAGAGGATGGCTGGCTATAATTTACAGTTGTTATTTACATTACATTGATTTTATAATGAGGTCTGATGAGCTGTTCTAAGAAAAGAAACACCAATAACAGAATTTGGCAACTGGTTACTTTATAGACTTTGCATCATGTTGCTCCCCTCGCTCTCTATGCCCTCAAAAACTGTCAATAAAAAATACAGAAGATTACATCCAAAACAGAAAAATTGTCAATATAGAATAAAATAATGTGCAGGCCTGTCACAATCACAAATTTTGAAGTTTTAATTTTGCTGAATATAGACAAATAAACAATGATATTGAAACCAAATCATAAAGCAGAACTACCCACCAAACATTATTCTAAAATGTACAATGTTAAAAAACTCAAAACTGCAATAACTAAATAATACATACATAGTTGATTTGAAGAAAAATAACCAACATTTTCCCAGTAGAGCAAGGGAAATGTAACCATGATAAATTTTAACCCCCAAAAAATGATAGTGTTCTATCTGTCATTTACTGAACAATAAGTATTTATATAGTATTTATCATGACAGGCCTATGTGTTGACATTCTGTAAATGCCTTTGCATAATCTGAACTGCCACTTGGACAGTTTGGTGGTTGTCTTTGCAGACTTTTGTGCTGAATTAGTATGTGAGTGTGGTTCAAATGAAGTGACAGAAGCAGACGTGTGCGGAGGATAAGCTGCTCTGAGGCCTGTCTCTCACCCGAGCAGCTTGGACTTGAGTTTATGTATATTCAGTTGGACCATGGACAGCCGCGACATGAGCACTTCACAGCTCACGAGGCTCCTGTCAGTCTTTTGGCAGCATCTTTGTGCCTCTAGGACCCGAGGGAGGTAGTAGCTTAGAGTGTCTGTTGTGGGGTGACTTATGTGGATTTGCCTATCTCACATTCACTGGCCCCGTAGCTATGGCAACACGAGCAGTCAATGCTGTCACCGCAAGAGAGGCTAAGAGTCATACACACAGGCGGACACACAAGGGTTAATCCTGTGTGTGCGCGCTTCTCCAATCTCGCCCACTGAAATGGTACATGACGAGGTTAATCCTGAGAGCGGTGTGTGGTTGTGTGTTTCTCTCTCAAGGCAGGGGCCAGTCCTTATCTCCAAACAGCACCCCAGCACAGCGCGCACAGACAGGCACACGCAAAGCTCTGCCTATACCCCTCACTACCAGACAACTCACAATCACACCTACAGCCACAAATCCATGTATAATAAGTGATTACAGCAAGGGGAGACTGCGCTGAATAAACTCTTACTCAAGTATGGAGTGGGATGTTTCCACTAAGCTTCTGCTAAACCTGTGTGCAAATTATGTATGGAAGCAAACAAAATGCACTGGTTATATTTATTTCTTTTTGCATTTCAGAAATACCAAAATATCTTTGTTAAGAGACACAGCCTGGCAATGGGCCAAGATCACCAATGTGCAGCATGAGATATCAACAGACGACTCAGTGTGGTGTACAAGGAAGTTGGTTGTATTAATATTGAAATACCTGACAAATATATTAGATTTAAACTTCAAACCAACAACACTGGGAGATTTTGTAGCACTTTTTGTAGCATCAGTATGAAACACATGCAGGCTTGAAGCCAGCCACAGTTGAGACCTAAAGTAAATCAATCTTTAAATTCACAGTCAGATGGATGTAATGTAATAATCCAAGTTTGTTATGGCAAAACACACACAAAAAGGCCCAAAACTGTAAGCATCTGAGCTATTCTAAAAAACATCTCCAGGAGTTACTTACCCTCTCCACTTTCTAGCTGTTCTGACATGGCCATTCTGTCACCCACAAATGCAGTTTCACACTAAACACTGGTCTAACCCAAAGTGGTGGTCGGTCTTTTCATGCCCCAGCTCTCTCTGTGATATCTCCCATGTCCAGGCTATCAGGCTCAGGGGTGCGAGGCGGGGAGCAGGGATGCCTATAGTGCATGTGTCTGCAGATGACAGTGCAAGTCAATAGGGTGTGAATAGTAGACATCACGCACGCGCTTATGGAGCCTGTGTCAATGTGTCCAACGTGCCACTTCAACTCACAAGTCAACAGGAAGCTCACATCTGCCAGAGTTCAGATAACAACCGTCCCTCTTTTTGGTGCGCATTAAGACACTGATCCCAGCACTGCCTTCATCTACTGTGTGGAGAGGAATACCTATCCAGGTCCATATATAATCATATAGTTATCTGTATATGAAATTACACTGAAGCACGCATGTAGCTTATCAAAATAAATAGGAAAAAATATTTGGACGGAACACCCAAAAGTTTATATTTTTTGACAAATTTATCATTCCACCTGCAAATAACAGACCTACAAAAATAGACATAGGAGATACGATAAAAACAAAGAAACAACTGCAAAAAAAAAGCTGACAAAAAACAGGTAGCAATGTAATATTTCATTTACACATAGACACACATTCTGTGTTGCTGTTACTTCAAATTAAATAATTATATCCAAGTAACCAAAATTCATATTTCTATAAAGCTAATTTAGAATAATAGGTGCTTTTTTGATACTTTATTGTGTCAAAGTTTTACAAAAATATATATTCTTGGTTGACATTACAGTAGACAGTAGACACAATATTTATGTTTTGTTTCTGTCATAAAATAATATGATCTGTGCACATCTTCACATCACTTGTTGGGCTAGTAGCTGTATTAGCGGCCACTAATTAACTTGATTTTAATTTATAAAACAAATCAATATGTTTGCATAGAAGGATTCTCAATTATGAACATAATCATCAATCATTAACTAGATTAATCTAATGTCACATGTTACTCATACTTTACAAGCTTGCTAACGCTAAACACAGTCTTTGTGTGATGATAAAAATAAAACTTTGAATTACAAAACTATTTTTGCACACTTCATATTCCAACTTATTTGGGGCAGTAGTCCAAGCATATCAGTATATATGGAAAACTCCCCTCACTTTTTCAAGCTCTTACTCTGAAGAGTCAAACAGTGTAGGAGGAGAGAAGTGACAAATGTGAAGTATCCATCCAGTAGGTAGCATGGGTTTCACATTTTAGTCTATTCAAATGGTTATAGTCCACTTGTAAAGATCAATGTTGCTACTACGACAAACTGTTGTCAACAGAGCCAAAAGTATGTATTAAAACAGCATGGTTTCCAACTTGATTGAGAGGTCTGACTTTTGTTTTATTTTTTATAAAAAAAATTTCTTAAGCTGCATAATTTAAATTGCCAAGCTTGTTGTAAGACCACTTTTGATTTCTCAGCCATCACTGTGATGTGAGGGAAAATACCACTCTGACCTACAATCAGAGGAGCAGTCAGTCCTTTGAAAGCAGTGCCCTCTTGTGGCCACTGACAGTCAAGTGTTGTTTTCATCCTGTCTACAGTATTTTATCACTCAGGGTGAATTCCCTGTGCAGGGTTTTCTTTGGCAGGCGAACACAGACTCTGAGTAAGAGAGAAACTCGAGTTGCAAGTGCGTCACGGGGCTGAGCAGGTCAAAGGGTGAAGGTGGTCAAGGGGGGCTGGAGGACTCACTTTGCTTTAATATGTGTTACATGTGCATTAAACAGTGTTTCCTTGAAGAACTGCCAAGTGATTCAGAGACATGATTTTGGGAGATGTTTTGCACAGTGCTCCGCTGCAGGTGGCTGTAGTGTGTGTGTGGTGTCAGCTGACAGCTGTGTGAGGGGAGATGACAGTGCCCTGATGCTGCGTCTCTCTGTTCTCTGGGAGCCATTTTGTCTGTCTCTGATCTCAGAGTCAGGTCTGCACCCCCCAGCCCCATCAGCCAATCACGTCAGCGCTCAGCCTAGCAGAAAACACAGAAACACACAGCTCCAACCCCTGTGTCCGTCACCTCTCTGTCTCACCCTCTCCTTCCTCTCTTAATCCACATCTTTCCTCAGTGCTCTTCCCTCCACTGCACCCTCCTCCTCTTCAGGCTGTTCTTGTTGTGCAACCCGCTTCTAAACAGCTCAGCCTTTGTGCCTTTTTGTCTGTTGCCATTTCAGCCAGGCTGCAGTCTTTACTCATTTTCCTCCAATCAGGGACACCATGTGACTCTCTGCATGAGAGGGCACAGTCCCTTCCCCCTCCTCCTCCCCTCATCGAGCCAACCAGCCAACATACGCTAGCAATCAGGAGAGTCAAAGAAAGAGGCAGTGAGGGAATGAGCAGGGGAAAGGATGATGGTACATACACAGGGCAGAGGTTTGAAAAACAGTGCAGCAAAAACAAGCAAATGCACAAGTCTAACCCCCAGTCAGCAGCCTTAGATATGGCATTAGCCTTTGAGTTGTGTGCCTTTGATGAACACAGCTCATCCCACATCACACTGACTGCACTGTTTATGTCATCCACATGTTGTCGAAGCACATGTGTGTCCACACTCGCGCACACACAACCGGGGCCCACACAAGAAGGGGGAGGACCACTGTGTGTTGAACATGGCTCTGGAATGTAAACAAGCAAGAACCAGAGAATGAGAGGGACCACCTGAAGAGGGACTTGCTGTACAGTCATGTTGTATTATACACCACAGGAACAGCACTCAAAAACCTTCCTTTAGTGAGAAGTGATTAATAAAAAGACAAGTGCCCCCACAGCACAGAAGAGTAGCTCTTGGTTCACACAACTAAAATCCTTTGACTGAAACCCCCAGAGACAGGTGCCCAGGGGAATCTGGAGAAAGAAACAGACTGGATT